TACAGAGGAGCCTCGGTCACGAGGTGATTAGAGATGAAATCTACAGGTCCTGGTCGCAATTAGATACAGTGAGATAGAAATCAAGGGCATCAGCGTGCGGACTGCCGCCCAAACAGGACATGCGCGAAAAGAGCAGATGAATGGAGGGCAAACCCTCTTCTCGTCCATCAGATGCCAGGTAACACCGCTCGCTAGGCTTCATGCAAGCAACCAAGAGACCGCTCTGCGGGGGAATATACGGTTAACTCAATGTCGATCATTTCGACTTCATCCCTACCCTTGGATATTATACCCATTTTTCATAGGGACAAGAACATCGCAGTATACGCAGATGCAGGGCCACGTCTGCTTCTCGCCGGAGCCGAGTCGGGGAGATTGTCTACTCTGGATCGCGGGTTACACCGAAGTTCCACACAACTGCTTCAGAGAGAGACCAGGGCCCATGCTGCAGGGGAAGGTGGGACATTGGCCCCTTTTGGGTGAGTGATGCACCCGTTTGGCGGGGTTGTTCTCTTGGCCCGGAGAAACTTTCGGTAAGATGAATAGAATGCCTTGACAGATGCTGTCTTCTTTTCTTACTCTAGTTGAGTTAGCTGTAAGCGTGGCAAGAGGGTCGCTGTCTGGGGTTTGAGGCGAGTGAAATCGAAGTTGATGTACACTCTTTGGGAGACTTAGGAAGTTTGGACGGGTAGACGGAGGAGCCTCCGAAAAGTGTCTTACGGCCCATCCATTACAAAACCAGACAGCCCAATAAACAAACAACGACTCCTAGAGAAAAGTGGATGCGTCCAGGATCGTGGAGTACAACAACAGTGTTACTCCGCTCCACCTCAACCATTTTGGATCGACTGACTGATGCCATTCCGACCTCTCGTCCATCTAATGTCGCCCAGAACATCGCCCCGGAGCCAATTTATCAACCGTGAGATGACCCATCCTGGGCCCAGCTGACGGCTATTGTACACCTAAAGTCTCCGGTCAAAGCAACTAACCTGGCCACATTGTATGGCACTATTATGGCCTATAATCCAAGTAGGATTTTAACAAGAATCCGGCCATGCGGATGGGTAAAGGGGGGGAGGACTCGCGGCAGGCAAACCATGCCTGTGACACACAGCTAGGCTGTATGAGTGATGTTGACGGAGCTTACGGAGTAGGTATGTATGGTTTCTTTTGGTTCCAGTGTCTCTCTGCACTGCATGCCAAAGTCTGGAACGGTCCTACACTTTACCCAACTCAGAGCTGAGCCGTATCGGGGTCTCGGGTCTCCGCATTTGAGCTTCATTATTAATAATTTCACACTTTTGCCACATAATACATCTCTATGTACGGCTGCAGATGAGCATCCTAGACAGTACCGAGTCTGGAATAACGGCCGTTGATGATTCCAAACTAACCCTGTCAAGAGTTCGCCAGTAGCGGTGATCCGTAACCACCAGCCGGGTACCGCCAGATCGGCTTGCAAGTAGCCTTCAACCTCTAATGTACTTGACGATGAGCGGTGTCTTCACTTTGAGGCAAATATGGCAAAGAGCCTGCCACTCTCCTAGCCTGAGGCTCTAAGCTATACCAAACGAAATTCTAAAGAGAGCAACTTATCAAGGTTCCGTTCAGTACATCGTCACCATTCTGAATATTGGAATATAGAGCCAACAAGCAGGACTCCGTTCTATTGAGATGCACACTGTAGTAACCAGCGATGAACTTGGAATTGTAGACATGCAGACACATGCACACAGGCACACAGGGTATTACGGGATATCCGTAGATACGGGTGATTGGTTTGTGTTACATGCCTACTGTACGGGCCTGCATGTTGCACGCAGCACCACCCAACCTTTGGCCGTGACAGCATACTGGTGCAGCACATCCCCGATGCGCGGACAGCGGGTTCGACCTTCTCGGCGGGCTATTTCGCGCCGTAGGGGAGGGATGCCGATGGGCGAGCCGGGGTTCACAAGAGGGACCCTTATGATTGATCGAGATTGGGCCGTTCATCTTGATAACCCACTTCCTGACGGGAAACAGAGAACTGCCCGGGCAGCACAGGCAGTAATTCTCGGGAATAAACTGCCTCGTGGTGGCACACACCGTAGGTAGCCGTACCTTGTACCTGGTTAAAATGCTTGGTCTCAGATGTGAAGATAGGTATGGAGTAGTCACTTACAGCTATTTGAGTGTGCTAGAATCTAAATAGCAGCCATCGTCAGCACGGCCACTCGTTCTATAAGTAGTGCTTTGTTGATGGGCCTACCGATCACCTTCAAAACTTTATCCAGATGTTATGGTACAGCACCTCACTTATTTGATGAAGGAGACCATTGCCGCATGGCACCGACTAGAGCCCAAAGTCACGGCCCCCGAGACGCGGCTTGACCGGGGAAACGTTTCCTACACCAGCGCTACTCGAATACAGGTAAGCACGCAAGGTAATGGCTGCCGTCTGTCACGGTTTCACTTGTAATGCAGCAAGATCTGCGTCTTCTTGATTGGAAGCACCAGAGGGGCCACGCTAGGAACTTGCCGCTGGCACCTCACGCACGTTTTACATGGTGATCCAGCGAGGGGGCACGGAACCTTGTGCTGTATGCAGGAGTGTACCTACTCCGTACGGATATGTCCAGCGGCGTCTTCGTTTTCACCTGCCTAGAGTGGGTGAGTGTCACATATCTTGGCCCTCTTGGAAAGAGTCAGATAGAGGAAAAAGCATGGAGCGTGCTTGCGTACCCCCAGAAGCTTGGTGGTGCTGATGCCGAGTGTTGAGCTCATCACTTGCAGGTGTCTGGGCTGCATGGCTGTCCGTTGCACGCTGAAGACTAGAATGTCCGTATGTTGATCGAGTCTGCAGTATGGATACTAGGTGGGAGATGTTGAGCACAAAAGAATCTGCCTACTCTTCCAGTAGAAATCACCACAAGATCTAGGCTCCTCCAAGCTGAATCTAACGTGGCATACCTTGGGCTACGGGCACCTGCGTCAGATATTCAGGTCGATGGCCCGAGTCCCACGTCATCGACGTCAAAACGGACAATGCCCAAGCTTATCCTACCTTATGCGCAGGAGGCGACGTGAAGGGCAGTGCTCTGTTGCTCACAACGGTGGCCCATGACCCAGAAGCAAAAGTTGATGGCTATCCATACCTATTCTACAGTAAGACGACGGTGAGAGAATCTAACACCTTACTGCAAGCCGCCTGTGACCGACCTTTCGGAAACTTTACACAGCCCTTCTATGGAAGTACCTTACTAGGGTTATGAGATATCACTACCTTCCTTATGTGCCTCATGAATACATCACACAGCAGGTCGGTGGCTCAAGCGAACTTTCCCTGTACGGCATTTTAGAGGCCCAGTTGCTAAGCCAAGCAGCATGAGGTCCTGCCAAAGTACCGAACACGAATGCTCACTGACCAGTCACAATGGTTTGGAGTCCTTGGGATCGGGTGACAAGGGCAAAGACTGGGGCGGGATTCGATGACAGATCCCGCTGCACTCTCCCGGAGCTTTCTACCTACCAAGTCCGAGCTACTTGGTACAGGCGGATACACTAGGTGCTGCCACGCTGCCACGCTGCCACGCTGCGTCTGAAAGTGCGAAGTGTGCGAAGTGTGCGAAGTGTGCGAAGTAGCGAAGGTTCGGTCTCCAAGTCTCCAACATCACTCTAGGGGAGTCCAGTCTCAATCCCCCTTCCTCACTCAGCCTCTCCCACCGGCCACCGATCGACAAGTCGACAGGTACCTATTCGTACGTCCATTGTTTGATTATCAATTAACTTTGCTTAGGCACCTTGCTTCATGTTGTCTTGCCGCACAGCCTTTGCCTCGTACAGGCCCAGCAAGCGTGCTAGTGCAAAGCTCTGACGTCTGCGGACCGGTCCCCCCAGCCCCCCCCCCCCCAGTGTTGGGTTTGCTGTTGGAGCAGCATAACTCGCCCTGTGCTAGGTATCCCAAAGGTACGGATACTTGGGTCTGCGTTGCTTTGCTTTGCTTGGCCTAGCACTAGGTACCGTACAGTTCCAGTACGGATACGCGTCTCTACACAGTAGTGTACGAACATTTACAATACTTCCCTTCCTCACTGATAACGTACATCTCATCCTACCTTCGCCTTCCTCTCATTTGTCCACTCGCATTGCCCTTCTCGTACCTTGCCTCGATTCCCCTCCTGTTTATGGCCATCAATCCAACCCACTTACCCTCTATCAGCCTGGTCAATCACAATCTGGAAGGGCTAGTCACAGAGCCGGAAAACAAGACAGTCTAAAAAGCCTAGAACTCAGACTCAAGCCTTGCATCCGCCCTGCCTTACAGGCTTCATGAGCATTGACGATTCAGCTGCTTTGTCCCACCCCGGCCCTAGTGTCATTTGGATCCGCGACGGGAGCTTCCAAGCCTGCGTCGCCTGCGTTCCCCTCTCTCACTGAACTCAACTAACGCCTTTCATCCCGCATACGTAGGGCTCAAAAGGCTCAGTAGCACCTACCTTACGGATAGTGTTGACCCTCTTGTCTGTTCTCCCCTTCATCTTCTGCTGCTCGTGCTCCGCGCGAACTTAGTACAAGGTTGGGACAGCTCCAAAAAACCTCCACTTAGCAATTCCCCCCAGACCCTTACTACTAGACGTACCGGCCGTCCTTCTTTCCTAGAAGACTTGTCGCAGTCCCATCTATCCATCCTTTCCTCTCGCCTCGTTTACCACCTGCAGTTCGCAGCCTTTTATTTCTCGATTGTCGTGCACATCTGGAAGACGCCGGTTCACTGACCGTTCTTGTCGAGCTCCTACAGCATCTCGCCCGTCCTGATTCTCTGCCCGCGGGGTTGAGGAAGCGGGATTCGGATGGCATCACGCTGTGTTTCGAAAGACTCGTGATGGACCAAGTGCTCCGGCGCCCAAATCCCCTGCTTGCATCTCTTTCGCCGAACAACTAAAGCCAACAACACAACCTGTTATCTGATCCCGCGGTTTTACCAGGTCTAGGTTATCCAAGATTCCATCTCAAGAATGGTCTACTGCGGCAAAGCCTCTCAGGGCTGTCAAAACTGCCGAACCCGTCGCATTAAGGTGTGTAGTACTGATCCCCTCAACCCTCGAAGAGCGGCTCTTCTGAACAAGGCCCTGGGTTGGACAATTCACCCCTCAACTTCGTTGCTGGATAAAATTGGCCAACATGGGACCGTGGTTGACAAAATTCCCCTTATAGTGCGATAAAGTGAAACCCGAATGTTCACAATGCATCCGCGTGGGCAAGAAATGCCCCGGGTATCGAGACCAACTTTCGCTCATGTTCCGCGATGAAAGCACCAAGGTCATCAAAAAAGCACACGCTCAGTGGGGAGTTACCGATGGTGCTGAGAATGGTGCTGAGCGCGCATCGGCCTCGACAGCTCCGTCACCGCCTGCTTCTTCGCCCTCTTACAGCCGGAAGGGCTCGCCGAACAGCAAGAGGTCTGCATCAAGATCAGGAGCCGCGAACGTACCTTCGCCAGCCTCGAGCTCGGCATCCTTTTCCGCCTCGCCTTCGTCAACGTACCGTTCTGCGGGCTCTTCATCACCACCAACGCTCCCGGCTGTCAAGGAAGAACACAATCGCGAGTCCAGCCCTCCGACACTCCAGATAGGATCTACCCTCGAGGAACAGGGCGTGCAGTTCTACGTCAACAGGTATTTGATAGGGCATCCTGATGAACCCAAAAACGGCCAAGACTTGAACACAGAGGGTTGGATATGGCATCCAGCAGTACAGGACGTCATGTGCGCCGTAGGCCTTGCTGGCCTGCACAACCTGACTGGCAATGCCAAAATGATGTCGACTGCGCGAGAGAAGTATGGTTCAGCACTACGACATACCGGGAAGCTGATCCGGCCTCCCCATACACCGAGCATAGATGTGACAATGAGGGCCGTGGTGGCCCTCGCCATGTTTGAGGTTCGCCCCCCAACTCTCTGCTGCAACTATGGTTACGCGTCTTTGACTGTTGCTGTTGTTCGTATTGGCTGACCTGGTTTCTTGCTCGTACAGGTTGTGAAAGGGACCCATCATTCCACAAGCACCGTCCATGCCCATGTTATGGGCGGAGCTGCGCTGATGAGAAGCTGGTGCCCTATGCCCAGTGCACCTTTTGCAGGCTTCAGGGCCTTATTGCAGCTGTGCTACTCAATGGTAGAGACCGCTCCTCCTGGTCTGGATTGTTTCGTAGAACTGACGCTTTCTGTAGTTCATACCTCTACACGTTGCTGGCATGCCCATGCCACCGGACTTTTACGACTGGGTTTCTTATGGTTCGCAACTCCAGCTGCCCATAGACCGACCGTCGACCGACCTAGCGGTTCTGATCGCTCGATTTGTCGAAACCTCGTCAATTATTCACAACCATGTCATCAGCGACGGAAAACCAAAGACGGCCAGCGTTATTCAGCAGCTTCTGGATCTTGATCAAGATTTGGCCTCGTGGGAGAATGGACTGGAAGGAGATTGGATTTACCGCACCATTCACGCCACCCATCTCCCTCCTAAGGCAGTGTTCCAGTGCGAATACCACAAATACCACGACGTCTGGACTGCTCGAATCTGGAATTACTACCGATGGTGCCGGATTCTGGTCAACCAGAATTTGCTGGATCTGACCAATAAGAATCCTGTGTCCAGTTTGTCGCTGGTATCAGCGGCTGCGCGGGACGAGTTTCTGAACGTGATCCGACATTTGGCGAGGGATATACTTATTAGTGCACCAACACATTGGCGACACCCGGCCCTAGACGGACCGGCTCAGATAACAGTGGAAAGTCCCGGCGGAGGAGGAGCTGGATCAGCAGGACTACCGGCATTGCTATTCCACCTCAAAGTGGCGGGTTGCGCTCCTGGAGTGCCCAAAGACTACTGGGAATGGGCATTGGGAATCATCCAAACAATTTGGGGCGACATGGGAATGTTGCACGCACGATCGATGATGGAAGCCATGCGAGCGCATGAAGACACGGTGCTGAGAACTGGTGCAGCTGGGATATTGGCAGATGATTGGTAGACGGGGCCATGGGACGGAAAAGGGAAACGGCGTAACGGAGTTGAGGAAACCAGGATGTTTTTTTGGTCTTGAAAGTTTAGCAAAGGTCCGGAGCAGCGGCCAGGTATGGCTGGGTGATACCATCGGTTTCGGAGTAGGGCTTCGTTCCTCCCGGCATGAAAAATGGCACGGCAAGTTTAAGGAAGTTCTGGCGTGAGGTATATCCGAAGCAAGTTCGTGAGGGCAGACCATGCGTCAAGATGAGTTGCAACGGTTCCTGGTGGGATGGTTGCGGCATAGCCACTAATTTGCAATGCTACCTTATGGGCCCGAGGCGTTTGAAGATATCTCCAATCCATTCTGTCAGTGGCATCCTCTACGATACATTCATCAAATAGTAACTAAGAGGACCAGAGAAGGATTTGCGCGTCTAAAAGTGACGAACGCTGTTCCGGAATCTGATATTTGAGCAGTGCGGATTACGATACTCACAGTCTGTTAGCACGGTATGCTGGGGAGATGGCCTATGAGCTCTTGCATGTGGAGGCCCCAGGCTCCCACGCGTGACCTCCACTGGGACAGCCCCCGTCCTCCTACCTCACCCAACCAAAGGCGACCCGACGACGACATTCAACGGCTACGATAAGGCCCAGGGCGCGACGCATCGCAATTATTTCATCAACCATCATATCGCCTGCTATCCGATGAGACGTTCGAAATTTTTTTTGAAGTCTTCTGCCATGAAGTGACGCTCACGGGCAGAGTTTCATCGCCGGACATTGATATCCCGCGTCTCCGTCGCCAAAGTGGCCCGTCGCCACACACACCACGACCCATAGAGACCCCTCCATCGCGATCGTATCGCACTCCGCCGTCATCACTACATCGAACCACCTCATCAGGCGAAACAGCCTACAAACACCATGGCCGCCGTTTCCGACTCCAAGAAGAGTAATGCGCCCGCATCCTCGTACTCTTGCCCAGCTCTGAAGGTACACTAACCACAACTTGCGCATACAGACGACGAGCAGACGATCAAGGTCGCATCGAAGAAGGACCCCAAGAATAAGCCCGACGGCCCTATTAAGCTCAAGAAACCCGCTCCCAAGTACAATAAGCCTGGAAATTGGAGGGAAGGAAGCATTGTGGAAGGTGAGTCGACTGAATCGCGTAACGGATACGAGGCTTGGAGACTGACCGACGTGAGCACCAGAAGACAAGAAATCAAAGAAGGATGATTCCGCATCGATATCTGTCGCTTCTCCCGGACCCGTCGTTAATCCCCTCGATGATATCGCGCGCGAAGCCTTTGCGACTGGCCGGCCGCTAGAGGACACACCCGACCTACAACAATGCAAGCATTGCAAGAAGAGCATCCTTAAAACAGCCGCCAAGGCCCACATCGCCGCGTGTCTCAAGCTGAAGAAGGAGAAGGCCCAGAGGAAAAAGGAGGCGAGGGAGGCCCGCGAGCGCGCCAAGGAAGCTGCACGTGAAGAGGAAGCCAGAAAGGCAGACGAAGATCCCGATGGCAAAGGCGATGATGACAGCGACGGCGATGAAGACGGCGGCGACGGCAAAAAGGCTACCGGCAACAAAACTGCAAAGAAGACGGGAGGTAAGAAAACCGACGGTGATACCGGCAAGGGCAAGAAGCGCAAAGCAGACGGAGACGCGGAGAAAGGGCCTAAGCAGAAAAAGAAGAAGGAAGAACCGAAGCCGAAGGCCCCCAAGCCAAAAGGTATGGACCGTTGTCTCATTGGGATTCTCACCTGGTTTCTGACTATGTACAGGTCCCGTGGATGTCGAACGCCAGTGTGGTGTTCTGTTGCCCAACGGGCAGCCTTGCGCCAGATCTCTTACGTGCAAGAGCCATAGCATGGGCGCAAAACGTGCCGTTGCGGGCAGATCTCTTCCCTACGACATGCTTCTGGCGGCGTACCAGAAGAAGAACCAGGCCAAACAGCAGAGTACGTGGCTCCCTGAACACGTTTTGAAGACAATGCCACTGACAACATATCATTATAGAGGCTGCTCTCGACGCCAATGCCCCACTAGAGGACGAAGATGAAGCCAACGCCGGGCCGGTTGACTCGGATGAAGAGACGACTGCTGTCATGAGTGCGCTGGCGCACTGGAATCCGCAACCTGTGGTGCCGCAGCCAGTCCTCATTCCAATTAAGAGGCAGTACCAGCTAGCTCGACTTCACGAGCAGCTACAAATGGCGACGAACGGTGGAAGAACAAACATATTCAAAGTCAACGGTTTTGGGGCGCAGAGGCTTCCCCAAGGTCATCCAGGACTCAACGACACGGAGGACGCGCCTGGCGAGCTTGACGACGTGAACTTTGGAGGCGCCCGCAGGTCTTCCAGCTTCAGCATGCAAAGCCATCCTCAACGACGGCCGTCTGTAACAAGCAGAGGATAGTGTAGTGCAGGCGTGGCTGCAGGAAAGAGGTCCACCTGTTGTGACTTTCTGATACTCTTGCCAGGCGGAGACGCCATTGGATTTTCTTCGTGGGAGAGGGTAGTCTCCTGCATTTTTAACTAAAAGGACGGGCGGCGTTATGATTTTAGGCGGTATACCATGTGGTCGCAGCTGGAAAGAAGTTGCTTCTCTCTTTCCCCTCATCCGTGTTTCTCAAATTGCCCATTAGGTTCTCTTTCAGCAGCGGCGTTTGGTGGGCTGTGCACTAGGGATCTCTCGCTGCTACTTGCGGAAAAGTAGCAGCGCATGTGTGTATATATGTATCTCTATATGAACGATGCGTTTCGGATGTAAGACGCAAAGGATGACAAGTCCAAGAAACTAGATCTCCTAGTTCTAGGTCATGAAAGCATGGGTAACAGTAATCAAGTTAAACCCCCCGTGTATCATGGCGTAAAAATGCCATCCGAACCCAAAGTCGCGAACCGTCGATTGTGAGGCACATGGTATTTCATACTTTACCTATAGAGCTGGGATTATACAAATGAGATGGCCGGTGGGTCTGTTGGTTTGCGCATCCAGAGCTACCCCCGTCTGCGCCGTCTGCGGATTAGCGCCGCTATAACACTTTCACGCGATGATGACGTCGTTATAGTCAGGCTAGTTTACCCCGGATTTTCGCCGTGACCGCAAGCACTATCGGCGCCGAGCTGACCTCGGTACCACACATCTGCCCCATAGGTTGACAGAAGGAAATGCCGTCGTCTTCGATCTTCATGCTCGTTGATCTCGCCCCCTTACCACTTACATTTTATACGTCCTAACTTGCATATCGGCTACACACGCTGAGGAGAACAACAAGGATCTACTGCAGCGCGCCAACCTACAGTATCTCTTACATCGACGCTTCTCTAGTTACTCCTACAAAACCTCTTATTCTCATAGTTGAATCCAATTGATTTGTCCTTTCAAGTCGTATAGCGCTCCCACAAGACCATGGCGCCCGCAGGCGTCCTCGATGCCTTGGGCCACGCCCTCGCAGGCGCCCTTGGAACTGCCTTCTCGACAGCTGCAGTGTATCCCCTTGACCTTGTCACCACACGCCTCAAAGTCCAGCGGCAGCTGCGAAGCGAAGATGCGATCTCCGAAAAGGACCAGTACAAAGGCGTGGTGCAAGCCATGAGAGCCATCACGGCGAAAGAAGGCGGCATATCAGCCCTCTACATGGGTCTCGCCCAGGACGTTTTCAAGTCCATCGCGGACTCGTTCCTCTTCTTTCTGTTTTACGAGTACTTTCGAGGCACGCGCCGGCACTCGCGTGGGAAACGACTGACGGTCCTGGACGAGTTGGCCGTTGGCGCATTGGCGGGCGCCTGTGCAAGAGCCTGCACGACGCCAATTGCGAACGTGGTTGCGAGAAAACAGACATCAGCAATGATCGAAAGCAACGAGGAGGGCGGGGACGCATCGGTGTGGGAAATTCTCTCGTTAATTCGCGCAGAAAACGGCGTGGCTGGTCTTTGGGCCGGTTATTCCGCATCATTGCTGTTGACCATCAACCCCAGCATCACATTCTTCCTCAACAAAAAGCTGGGAAAGACTCTACTCCCGGACTCGGACGAAGCCTTGCACAACACGCACACTACATTCCTCCTCGCTGCTGCGAGCAAGTCTATTGCGACCATCATCAGTTACCCCATACAGACCGCAAAGGCCAGACTGCAGATGCGCAGTACTGCTTCGCCGCGGAGGAGCACCGATTCCCAAGAAAGACCTCGTGCTGAGGACCTCAGCAAGGAGCCTTCTAGTCCAGGTGCGCTAGCCAAGACGAAGGAGGCGCTCGATAATAGCGTGCTCGCAATTGTCTTGTCCATCGCCAGAACCGACGGAATAACGGCCTTGTACGCCGGGCTTCAGGGCGAGGTGCTCAAGAGCTTCTTCAGCCATGGCCTGACAATGGTATCCAAAGGCGTCATTCACACCTTCGTAATCCGCCTTGGTCTTCTATTGGTGTCCTTGTCACGGAGACAGTCGCGCGATATCAAGTTGCAGCACCTGAGACGAATTTTCCTCAGACTTCGATGAAATGACATCTGTTCATTTTCCCGTGGTTTCGAGGCTAAGACGGTTCGGCGCTGCGTGACTGTTTCTGAGAGAGCCTTCCAGAGCATACAAGACAGTCATGCCGATGAACAGCTTTTGGACGGTGCCTTTGCCAATTCACATGAACCGTGCTATGCAGGTCATGAGCACGACTGCATTAGCATTGGAAAGCGACGCCGCTTTTCTCAACTTTGCTTGCTCCCCGAGCAGAGAACCCAGTGCCCTCGGACCTGAGTTCTATCAGCCCGGCAAATTCCTGTTTAGGTTCCTTGTGCTTGCTATCTGGGCGGGCCGCAGGAACCCTAGCATCGCACACATAGCATGCATTTTCTTGCGGTGTCATAAACTTCACAGCGCAATTGCGGCAAATGACGTGACCGCACTTTTCGGCCATAAGAGGTCGCGAGGCATTGCCGAGTGTCTTGACACAGGACGGGCAAATGCGCCGGCTGGAGTTGGTCTTGGTGTCGAGCTCTTCTTTGAATTCGAGCGAAGTGAGACTCTTGAGTGAGAAGGAATGCCGAGACTCGTCTACCGAAGCCGGGCAGATGGGCGCCAGCTTAATCTTTTTGGGAGCGGCTGCCAAACCTTCCGCCATACGAGCTGCATTGGCATCTGGTGTTTGCCCTGGTGTCCAGAAGAACGGTATACTCTCCTTGGATGCCTAGAAAGAGTTAGCATGGCATAGCTGGGTAATCGGGGTCTAAGGGTAGATAGTAGCATACTTTCTCAGCTTTAATCAACTTTTTGGCCTTCGTGCGATCCTCCTTGGCAATTCTGTCCAACTCATCCTGGTCCAGCACAAACTTCCTCTTGGTGACCTGAATGTCTTTGGTGGTGTTGGGGTCGGCTTCCTCGATTTTGGTCGATAGACTGGATGATGAAGATGCCGTTGCCGCAGCCGACGGTTTCAGCCCTGCTTGGATACTCTCAAAATCTTTGACGGCACGTTCTTGGGCTTCAGCATCTTGTTGTGCCTGCGCCTCCAAGGTCGCCTGCTCATTCTTCTCCCGAAGTTTTTCTTCGCGCTTGATTTCCTTCTTCTGCGCGAGCAGATTGGCCACAGCGCACTCTCGACAGAAAATGTCGCCGTGACTACATGAGACTGGGTCCCTAGCCATCTCAAGGCAGAGGTAGCAAGAGCCAAAGGGGAGAAAAGAATCGCGAGACAAACGGGCTGAGGTGGATGCCCATGCAGCCTTGGCCATATCACGCTCGTAAGAGGTGAAGACGCTACGCGACGTGTTTCTTTTGCCTATAGATAGTCAGATCCACGAACAGATGCATATGAGGGGATGTACTTGAAGGTTGAGGGCTTACTGTGTGCCATGGTGTTGATTGTGACAAGGAACTTGGCGAGACAGACAAATCTACTAAAGTTGAGCAAAATAGGAACCGTGGTATGAACGCTCTGTTAAATGATAACGTTGGATTCTCGATCTGGTTTAGTTGAAGGATGAGGTGGTGGATTGTGAAGAAGTCAAGCAATTACCTCGTATTAAAGTAAGGTAACGAGATAGACGAGTGGGTAAGGAAGTTGAGACGGACCAGGATACCATTGTCCAGGCAAAGCAGAAAGACATGTCAGAGTGACAGGGAACATGGCCCAGGCGTCGTGAGCCGTATTCGCGGTACTGAAATATCCTTATGTACTTATCGAGCGCGTCTACCCTCTTAGCGAGATGAATGCTCTATAGCGACCCACTCTAATGTAAGGCAAAGACAGCTTTTTTCTCGATCCTCATCTTGGATTCCAATCGGCAGCCAAACTCGGAGTGCCAATGGCTGATACAATCTTCTTCTTACTGTTCATACACAGCGTGTGAATTTTTTGTCAATTACCTTTCCTAATCACGTGTTCGTCATTGGCCCGAAGAGGTGGATTTATGACGCGGTTGATTCGCTCCAATCACCGTGCCACCTACTGTCACCCAGTCACTTTCCTCCCTTTCACTCATTTCACTAGTTCGGGCCGGCGAGGTCGAAGACTGTCTTCCCGCGCGCCACACTTGTAGAAAAGAAACATGACGGCCTTGGAGGAGAGGCCAAGTGAGCCAAGCCTACCATGGCGCATGGCGTCTTCGGCTATAATGGGCCTTACTGGTGCCATCTCTAGAGCCTTCTTATACACCTTTCATGATGTCCAGACCGAGAACCAAGCTCGATTTTTAGAAGTTCTGGACAAGCGTCGAGCCGAGACTCCTGAACGTGGTCTCATCACTGGTACTTTATCCTTGTCGTGTTCTCTCAAAGATGATGAGCTTATAACTGACAACTATGGATTGCAGTCTCAAACCACATCAGCGTGTGAGTTTTTTCATTTAGTTTTTTCAAAAGTAAAGACCCGTCTCTCGTGCCGATCTGACGCGTCTTGAATCAATAGTTTAGACGACCCCCTAATATGGGGTGTGCTGCCGCTCAAGTACAATATGTACCCCCTGAGTGCGAGATGGGGTCTGGGTGCTCATGACATCTGCTTCAAGAACCGGTAAAGACAACCCATGTTTCAACTGGACATTGAGGGGCCTCCACTAACAAAATCGCAGCGCTTTCAAAACGTTCTTTACCCTCGGTCAGGTTTTGCCGACATATCGCTTGCTGCACTCCCCCTATGGCGGATTATTCCAGCCCACCATGACCCAGGCCATCCGCTTAGTATCCGGCCCCGGGGCACTGTTCCCCTTCAAAGCCGCCTTCGAAGCTGGAAACAACGAAGTATTTTCCGCGCCCACTTACTACAGAAGCAAGCACGGCGCGTGGGTTCACGTGTTCCCCGAAGGCTGTACGCATCAAAATCCTGAACGAACCCTCCGTTATTTCAAGTGGGGTGTTTCCCGGTTGATCCTCGAATCCGACCCGGCCCCCCAGCTCGTTCCCATGTTCATCGACGGATTCTCAGACATCATGCCGGAGGATAGGAAGTGGCTGCGATTTCTCCCACGCATCGGTGCCAAGATTCGCGTCTTTTACGGCGAGGCTCTTGAAGTGGGCGAGGCCTTCAGAGAGCAGCGTCTAAAGTGGAAGCGTATCGTGCAGAAAGAAGTGGAGGCCCGAGGCAAACCATTGAGCGTCGGCGAAGTACCAGAGTCCCTGAAGGACCATCCTGAAGCGATCCAGCTGCGTGTAGAAGTCGCCAAGACTGTCAGAGACATGGTGCAAGAGCTGAGGATAAGTGCGGGATATTCTCGTGACAGCCCGGCATTCGCTCTTGCTGAGACATGGGAGCGCGAACCCGAGGACAAGCAGTTTAAGAGTCCTGTAGATGATAGCCTGGTTAACAAAGAATAATGACACTTCGACTTGGATGGCGGCCCATAGAAGGCACGCCATATGTACAATCTTCTACACTTCGTAAATATACAATAAGCGGGACTCTTGGATTGCATTGTTTACTACTTAGTTGCGAGCGATACTCGCGACTGTCATAATCACCCTCGCTCCCGCACACAACGCCAAAAGAAGCGAAGTTATCAGTAACGCCCGTAATGCCCCTTTGGCAAAGCCTGCCAACAATGCCATACCCTCCACTATGAAGTTGCAACTCATTGCTGCCGATGCAAATAATGCATAGCAGACCCCCGATCCCGTAAAAGCATAAACCACAAATGCATGCGGGCGCCTAGCCACGGTTCGAAGCCCGAGAATCAGTAATTTTCGTAAGACCCTTGTCCCGGGTAGGCTCTAGCTTGTGCTTGCAAAGCTTGCTGCTGATGCTGTTGCATGACGATATCGTTGAACCAGGGGTGCTTGAGGGCTTCGTGAGCACTGATGCGAAGTTCGGGGCGTAGCTGCAGCATTCGTTGGAGCAAATCGATGCCAGTAGGATCGATCTGAGGAAGAATCTGACGAAGGTCTTGAGTGGCGTACATCTGGAAAGTGGGTTTGTACTCGGGGAATTGCGTAATGCCAGTCCAGGTTCGTTCGGTTGGGGTTCCCATGATGCGGAAGATACGAATAATCTGGTCCTCGTTTGTTGTGCCAGGGAACAGTGGTCTGCCGGTGTACATTTCCGCCATGATACATCCCGCAGACCAGATGTCAATGCTGGTGTTGTACGTTCTGCTGCCCAAAAGGACATCTGGTGCGCGATACCACAACGTGACCACCTCGTTCGAGAACGTGTTGACGGGAATGCCGAAGGCACGAGCAAGGCCGAAATCGCCAAGCTTCAGCTGTCCCTTGCCGTTAATTAGGAGATTCTGAGGCTTCAGGTCTCGATGTAAAACTCTGTTCTGGTGGCAGAAGTCGATGCCTCTCAGCAGTTGATACATGAACGACTTGATCTGGTGAGGCTTGAGGGCGCCTCTATCGCCATGGGTGTCCATGTATTTCTTAAGATCTCCATCCATGTATTCAAACACCAACATCAGCTTATTCTCGGTGTGGATCACATCGTGGAGGGCGACAATGTTCTCGTGCTTCAGCTCCTTCATGAGCGAGATCTCTCTTATCGCCGTCGAGGGGGTGCCTTCTTCCGAGTCCAAGTGGATTTCTTTGAGAGCGACAAGCTCTCCAGTCTGCCGGTTACGACCTTTGAACACCTACAAATAAACAGTCAGTCTCTACGCGCATGAAGTGTGGAACTGAAAGGGCATACGGTAGCATAGGTGCCCTCGCCAAGCTTCTCAAGCTGCTGGAACGAGCTTGGGTGTCTCTTGCCGTCCATGTCTGCTGAATGGAGCTGGCAACGATGTTGAGATTGTGGGTAGTGCGGAGAAGTTCACCGTGTCGACAGAATCAACAAACAAGATTCTTAGGCTCGGCTTGGGATCGTAGAGGCAGTCGTCGACGAGGCTGACTGGAAGAGGAGAAAACAGAGAGTTGCGATGCGCGCCAGCCCAAGACGTGTGCTACGATAGGGGCTCGCACGACGAGTAAAGTTGCCTGAAAACTCTGTATGCGGGATGGTTGGGATGGATGGCTTGCGTTGTGGTCGACAGCTAATGGTATGATCAAGCAATAGTGCAGTGCGGATAACTAAGTGTGTGTTCAAATGATTGTCGGAGCTGAAAGGAGTGACGACAGATAGTGGTGCGGTTGCGGCGTGGTTAGTGTTGGGTCGCATTCAGCCTGTCGGTCGACCTTGCACCTTGCGGAGACGTGAAGAGGAGGCCGGGACCCCACCACTTACTTCCTAGTTTTTGCTACCTCATGCCGGTCCAATATATTGTTTTCAAGCTATAGTTGAGACAAGCGTAAGAGGAATCAACTTGATTTCCGATCTCGAACAAAGGAAAAACTTCCCCTAATCATGGTACATAGTGCGGAACTCCATGGCATCTCTTTCTTGACGTGTCAACGTGTACCTATCCTATGATAGGGTTGGCGCGCGTTAATGTTACTACCTACCTAAGGTAGGTAGCACGGTAAGGTAAGTAGGAAAAAAACGGCTCTCACCTCAGGTTCGGCGTGGGCAAGGGACTGGTGACCGACCAGCTGCTTCCCGTGGCAGTCTCCATTATCACCCCGCACTAGTACAAAAGTAGTCACTCGCTCCACTTGGGCCTCTTATCGCCTCTCCACCCTTGCGGGATGACCTTATCGCCATCAGACCCCTCTCGTCTCGTCGGTCAACGACACAACCGACCTCTTACCTTCCATACCTTACCTACTCACCTACTTTACTAACTATCTCAGCCTGGCATTCCGTCAACGCTACTCTGTGCATAAGTGGCGCTTATGTGCCCTACTACGAAGCTCTTTCCAAAATTTACGTGAACCACATATACGCTCCAAGTAATAACGATCTGATGATACTGTCGCGTCGACATGCGACCCTTAGCTGGATGCGACTTGTTCCCGGGGAATCTCTCCTCAGGTGATGGGGCCAACGAAAACATCGCTTCGGCTTCGCAGAGTACCGCCTCACACATGTCCTTTATCCTCGCTGACGAAGCTACCATGGAAGCCTCCTTGCCATCGCATCCTTTTTCTGCTCCTCGGGCGCGCGAACAGCGGAAACAAGCTACCTCCGCGACCCCCAGCGACGGATCAACGCAGAGACGTGAATCTGGCACAGCTCCACCACCCACTTCGCGTTATACATCATCTTTGCAACACCATGATGCCGTATCTCATCGGCCAAATTGTACCAGCAACCCCTCGTCGGCGGGGATACCGACACCTCCTCCGCCGTCTCTGTCTCAACCTATGACTCCCATACTCTATGGCGTATCAGGACCATGCTCTGCTATCAGCAGTTCGTCATCGCGGCCCAACTCGCTAGCTGGATCGCTTTCGGAATACCAGGAAAGCTTTGTCATGAGTGCCTTCGGAACCTCGGACGCTGGTCGCCCCCAAAGTATATACAGTGGCGAGGTTGCTCAGCAGTTCATTATGCCCACCATCAACGTCCCTCGTCGGAGACCCTTCACAGAAGCTGGAAAGGGCCTTGGTAGGCTCAAGCTACTCGTAGCTGGTAAATCAGGTATTGTATGATCTTGTGCTCCAAGAATAAAGCATTCGCTGATGAAACGTGTCTTCTCAGGCGTAGGGAAGACCGCTTTGATCCGAACTATAACACAATCTTGCTCGCACATCGTACACGTCGACCCTACCGTGCCAGTGGCAATGGCGTCCAAAGGTTTCCTGCCAGCAAATACGATGCCGAATAGTCCTCCGATATCTCAGGGCACTTTCCAAATCACAGAGACTTTAGCCAGCACCAAACCGTACCCCTCCTGGTGGAAGGATTCGGCCTTTTCATCCCCTACGCCTGGTCCGATTCAACTAGAGGACACAATTCTAGACAGAAACATCTGTCTGGTTGATACGCCTGGATATCAGGAAACATGTCGCGTATGTTCTGCAAGCAATTCACCCTTACGAGCCTCGAATTGACTAACAAGATAATAGCCAACGGATACTATGGGCCAAGTCTCACAATACGTTGAATCATACCTTCAAAAGAGCCGTCTCGACGGTCTAGAAGACCCCGATGTTCTAAAAACAATCAGTGGAAGCGGCGGCTTGCTTGTTGATGCGGTGCTCTACATGATTCCCAGTTCAGGTAAGAAACTACGCTATCACGAAATGAAAGCACAAACACTCAAATCATCTTAGGTCTGTCTGCGACTGATATACATTATCTCCGTCAACTGGAGGCACTGACCAATATTATTCCACTCATTGCGCATGCCGACACTTTGACATTAGAGCAGACAGCAGCGGCTAAGAAGCACATTGCCCAACAACTTGCTGAGGCTGGCCTCGGGCTGTTCTCTTTCGATCCCTTGACGGATGGCGTAGGAGAACAACATATATATGCTGCTTCTAGCGAGTTAGGATCGGATTCAGAGGTCATGGACGCCAGTCTGCTCATGAGCTCCGAGTATGTGCAACCTTTTGTGCCCTCCGATCTCTCGCAGTTAGTGGAAAACATATTCTGCGTGAATGGCGCAACTTGGCTTCGCCATGCTGCCGCAGCAAAGCTTCTGGGTTGGCGCACTCGTCACCCTGGGCCTAGTAACGTCTCCGGCTTCGCCTCAAAGTCAGAAGGCTCGACGGATATGTGGTTGATGCGTCCTAGGGCCGGATCACTGACTCCTCTTGCCATGAGTCGCGCTCCAAACTATGCTGCTTGTAATGAACGACTCTGCCGAGTGCAGCTCACGAACTGGGCGGCAGATTTACAACGCAGCCTGGCCAACGAAAAACGGATGCAAGAGCTCAGGGCATGGGAGCAGGCGGCTATGTTGTCGAGGGAAACTTGGAGAGATGGCCGCTCAGCATCAGGCGGCGAAGATATGGCGTTGACGAGAACAAGAGGACGGGGAGAATGTCGGCAGTCTCTCCGTAAGAGGAGACACAGTACAGGGTCTGGCCTAGATTGGGGGCTTGTAAGACATCAGGATCCTTTGGGCTTGCTTCAGCTTAATGCCGACTTTAGGTGGCAGGGTTGGAAGACGCTGGAGATGGTCGGTGGTATTGGGATCCTGGGCGGTTTGGCATGGTTGCTTGTTTAGAGTCACCATAGTAGCGAACTAACGGTGGCATCTGGGCATGGCGTTTCACCCGAAATCATGGCAGCTATCGGGCGTACATACCCTATTGGGCGTTCGTATGGAGAGTAGAAAATACTAGCCACTCTGGGTACCTTAGTTGATGGGATTCTTTGAAGTTGTGAACTGTACAGCCTGCGTGTACTCATGCCGCTATGGTGATGGAGGTCTGCCCAGGGCCTTTGAGTCGTTGACAACATTGACCGGCACACTGGGCTGGGCGCTCAGTGGCCCACTGTCCAGCATCCAAAGTGGGTGGGTCGGTTCCGCCGCCTTTCATTGGCTAATGAAGAGCAGCCTACCTTAGGTCTATTCTCCACTGTGCAAACGCGCCTGCTTTCCTAGCCTGCCACTTCAACAACGGGACCTTGACTGTCCACCTTACCCATCCGTACCTTGCCTCACTCAGACCTTTGTGCCTCGCGTCCTAGAGGTGAACGGTACCAGTTCTCCAGCTGCAAGGCACTTGGTGACCATCTAGTTTGGGCTAAGTTATCACAGCGATACCTACTTCGGCTTGGTTGTTCTCGCAGTGGAAGCTTCCCCTTTGACAGCCTTTTCCTTTCTCTATTACTTCTTTCGCTATCCTCCTTCCATCACCAGGGTCGCCCAACCGTCGCTTCTCCAGCTAAGCCTGTCCTTCTCTATTTACTTATCGCATCTATTTCTTCCAGAAGCAACAATCAGCCATGGCTAGCGAGGAAAGACCGTTGGGCGTGACGCCGCCCATCTCTACTGCTCTTCCCACCGAGGCGGAAAATCAAGCGAAGGAAATGCTCATGGAAGAGTTGAGGAAGCAAAATACTTTTGAGAGCGCTGCGGATACCCAAAAGAGGCAAGTCTTCGTACCAAGCCCCCGGTCATTCCCGATCTGTTCTTGCTAACGATCTTCGCGGTTGTCCATAGATACGAAGTCATTGCGCACCTCGAGCGGATATGCGACGAATTCGTGAAACGAGTGGCACGGAAAAGGGAGGCAGGCAACGAAGCTCTCATTAGAGACGCTAGAGGGAAGATCTTCACCTATGGCAGTTTTCGCTTGGGCGTCTTCGGCCCTGGCTCCGATATCGACACTCTCGTTGTCGCTCCGAAATACGTAACACGAGCCGACTACTTCGAAATCTTCCCTAACCTGCTGAAGGAAATGGCGCCTCCTGGCTCAATCACCGATATGGCAGTGGTAGCCGACGCCTTCGTGCCAATCATCAAATTCGAGTTCGATGGCATCAGTATCGACCTGATCTTTTCTCGCATTGCTATGCTAAAGCAATTGAACAAGGACTTTACTGTCCAAGACTCCGGCCTTCTTCGAGGTCTAGATGAGGCTGAGCTTCGGTCGCTCAATGGCACACGGGTTACAGATGAGATTCTCAGCTTGGTTCCCGAGGAAAGCACCTTCAAGTTGGCCTTGCGTGCCATCAAGCTTTGGGCGCAGCGTCGGGCCATCTACGCAAACATCATGGGATTTCCTGGTGGCGTGGCCTGGGCCATGCTGGTTGCTCGCGTCTGCCAACTATACCCCAAAGCCGCGAGCTCCGTCATCGTCAACAAATTCTTCCACATCATGCGCCGCTGGCCATGGCCACAGCCCGTCCTTCTGAAGCACGTTGAAGGCGGCCCTTTGCAGGTCCGCGTTTGGAATCCGAAGGTTTGCTTTCCCTACTTCCCTGGCCCTAGCTTCATATGTGCTAATCAAAGTATAGCTATACAAGGGCGATCAATTTCATCTGATGCCTGTAATTACCCCGGCCTACCCTTCCATGTGCGCCACGTACAACATTACCCGGTCAGCCATGACTGTCATCCAGCAAGAGCTCAGCAGAGGATGCGACATTACCGACAACATCATGTTAGGCAAAAGCCCCTGGAGCGATCTGTTTGTCAAGCATACTTTCTTCACCAAGGGGTACAAGTATTATATCTCTGTCATCACTGCTAGCACAGACAAAGAAGCACACAAGATCTGGTCAGGCTATGTGGAATCCAAGGTCCGTGTTTTGGTTCAAGGCTTGGAACAGCACCAATCGATAGCTTTGGCCCATGCATTCAACAAAGGTTACGAGCGTCGGCACAGGTGTGCGAACGACGCAGAAGTTTCCCAGGTTCAAGCTGGCAGTTTCTCGTTCCTAGCAAAGGATAGCGACGTCAAACAAGAGGACTTTGAGCAAGAGACGAAGGTCGAAAAGGTTGAGCCGATTGAAACGAAGCCCGACATGAGCGACATCCCAGGGCTCAAGACGGAACCCACTGACAACGTACATGGGCTCAAGACTGAAGAAAATGAGACACAGCCAGGTCTGAAGACGGAAGGAGTCAAGTCGGAAGACGAGAATTCCAAAGCTCCCAATCAGATCCCGAAGCATAACCCTTATACCGACGTCTTTACCACCACGCACTACATCGGGCTGACCCTGAGCGAAGGTAAGTCTGCTGCCGCTAACGAAAACGAGTTCAAAAATCGGGCTTCACCTTTCAGTCTGGGTCAAAGTGGCATGGCAGCTAACTGTTTAGGCGCGAAATCACTTGATCTATCCTATCAAGTCGAGAATTTCAAGACCTTATGTACACAGTGGGAAAAGTACGACGCGGTTCTCAACTCGTTGAATGTTCAGCACGTGCGGAGGTAGGCGATACGGGCATATTTTCTTTGGTGGCATTTGCTAAGTTCAGGACAGCTTCAACCTTCCCGACGACGTCTTTGAAGCCAACGAAACGAAGCCTCAGAAGCCTCAGAAGAAGCGTGTCATCCCGAACGCGAACGGCGCGGCTCAGATCAAGAAGAGGAGTGCTTCAGAGGTACTGCACTGGTTTAGTTCACGGCTGCGCTTGAGGGCTCATCACAAGACTAGCGAAGCTTTGGTAAGCGCATGGCTGACACGTTGTATAGGAAAACCAAGAACCACCCGCCAAGCGCCAGCAAGCTTCTGTCACGGCTGCCGGTTGAGTATGGACTTTGGACCAAAGTGTCCCACGCCATCGACCCTAATAAAGACTGTCAGCATTGGTAGCATCTTTTGCCTCTGATCCACTGACCAATAGGCCAAATCACATCTTCGAGTTTGACGTCCTACAACACGGACTGTCTCATACCGTACCAACACTGGATAACACACTCAGAGAGAGAAAGCGAAATAGACACAAAAAAAGAAAGGGGGAAAGGGAACTGAAAGAGAAAAAAAAGCCATCGACGACCCGGCATTACCCTGATGCCAGTGTATCCACACTTTACCTGCAAGACCCCCTTCCATAACCCAACTTTGGGTGGAGATCGCAAAAGCAAAAGCAGCAACATACTCGGTATGTTTTGTGGGCTTTGGTAGGTTGCTCGTTCTGGCCTGAGACGAGCGGAGACTACTAAAGAGCATCAGGAACATTACTGTCGCCCACGAGGATGCACTTTGGGGCACGTACGCTTTGTAATGCAGGACGAATTCATTTCTCTATGCTTCTTCACGCAAACACGGGCAGGGCTATTGAGTCAAGGCGAAGCCAGTTGTATACTAGATACCATCGATTTAGAGGATTGACTATGCTTTGTCCCCAATCTCTACCCTTGCCTTGCTCTGATATCTTGTGACTTCGTGGGTGCCTAGGCGACTAGAGGTGTCCGTGCCTCTCTGTCCATCTGAGGTCTCCACGATTCTCGAGCCGTTTCGCTTGACGTACTGATTGGTCGAGATTGATTATAGCTGATTCAGGCTACCTCAATCATCGTCATCATCGCTACCACTTGACCATCCTTCTCGATACGCCTCGGCGAAGTCGGCTAGCTCATTGCTAATGTCTTCCCGGTCCTCCACGCCAAGAGAGGACGCGACGGTAGTGCGCAGGGCATTCAGCGCGGCAGACACTGAAGTATCTGTGGAAAGACTGGTCTTGACGCCAAACGAATCGCTCAACGGCTTGCCGCTGCCGTCGAGGTAGATCTCGGGGAAACTGTCGAGCATAGGGAAGCCCCTATCGGTGAGATACCTGCCATCATGAGTCAGTTGTCAAATTACGAGCAAGCCTTTGGAAGGATAGCGGTAGTTGTCTTTTCTGGCATACCTTTGTGTACTAGTCTCTATGAGCGCAGCCCTTGGCCGTTGCCGGCTATCGCCGCCCTCGTCCTCGTCGTGTTTCATGACTTGCTGCGAGCCACGTGTAGTGATTGTCTGCCCGAAAAGGTGAGGCTTGCCGCCTCCGCCATTCATATTCCTTCTTCCAGGAGTAGGCTTGGGTCGGAGGATATCAAACAAGTCCGTGTCAAGCTTGGTTAACTCGCCAGCTTTGTCATCATCCAAACCTGACTCTGGTGCGCGGGTGTCTTGTTTCGTTTCCGAGGCTGGGTCGACGACGGTCATTTGCAGACGGCTCATGGTCTGTCTGCCGCGTAGATTCAACCCACTCACCAGCTCGCCGAGCGTCGCCTGTAGACCACTGCCAGAGCTGGTTGAGTTGAGCCGGGAAGCGATCCCTGCTGTTTCCATGGCCGTACTTAGCAAGGCCGTGGTTTGCCAAGGAGATTGCATGTTGATGCTGATGTTTGAGCTCAACCGTGCTTGGGGGAGAGCCATGGGAACCAGCATCGAGGCGTGCTCACACATGTCCTTGACTGCCCTTGCAGTGTTGGCGAGCTGGAGGCGTCTTTGGTCCTAGCGTTATCATTAGCTAGGCTAAGGAGTGTAATGAGCGCGCAAACGAAGTTTGAAACTTACGATGCGGGCAGCGGGTACAGGAGTCTGCAGACCCCACACCCAAATTGTAGTCTTGCCATACTCATCTCGCAGGCGCTCTACATACTCGGTCGCGAAACCTCCCCAGGCGTCGTCTATAGTTGTCACGATCTGGAGGCCCTGCATCTGATCGGCCTCCTCTACGAAGGGACGGAAGTCTCGATCGACAATGTCATGTTCCTTGTCTAGAGAATCGAACAATTCCCTGCCCAGAGACCACTTGTCAAAGGGCCTGATGGAGGAGTTGATCTCATAGTCATAGAGCTGGTTGAGAGACTTTGGGTGGTAGTAGACGCGCGAAAAGTCGGACCAATACCGCACGTCGGAGGACTTGAGCTTTGGGGCAGGCGTGCCGAGGTCAAGACTTTTCTGATAGGCGCTCGGCTCTACCGATGTCTGTTTGTGTACTTGCGCAGATCCTTCCCTGGGGTCGGCGGTGGCATGTTAGGTGGCCGGTCTGGGATACTTGAAAAAAGGCCAACGGCTGGGGTCAAATAAAGATGGGCGCGTTACGGACCATAAGTGAGCAGGTGCCTCTTCCTGGCTTGCGTCGTACAAGGCGTTGATCTTGCGAAGCGAGCCGAATCCGCCCTTTAGATCATAGACGACGGTACGCGGGAGGAAGGTCTCGGAGCCATCCAGGGCCACACCCGGACGCCAGTGAACGTCGTGGTTCACCGGGGATTCGTCCTGACCAGAGTAAGTGAAGTAGGATTCCTGGCAACAAGGTCAGTTTGTGTTTAGAATAAGACGCATGGGATTCGCTGTTGATAGAGCTAAACGTCTGAATACCTGGGTGTTCCAAAAATGAGTTGCAGCATAGTTGCTCAACTGGCCTAGCTGGAGAGTGATGATCTCGTGCATGCTGTTTTGTTCTAACCTGAATTATGAAGGTAAGTAGTCAAGATGGCTTCGCCGGGCTGCACCAATCATAGATGGTCCGGCAATGTGAGCCGGGGGGGTTTACTGCGGATGGATCCCGAAACTGGTAGGGAACGGGACGGGACTTGGGCTTTGCAATCTCAGTGCCAGGTCCATTTGGGCCGTTGAAGTGCGTCAAGTGAACCCGGTAGTGGGGTAGGTCTTGGGCGTGGGCCGGGCTTAGGGCGGCCGGCGACGGCATCCGCCCCCATCGGGCAACGGACGCTGATCTACCGTCCCATCTTCCATCAACCAGTGCATGCACCCCGTCTTGCGGTACTCACTTGCCCTCTTGACGTTGACCATTGCTTGAGGTAGGAGAGAGTTCTCCCTCCAGCACGACTACCTAGCCATTCGTAGACGGCCTTGAGCTGGCACTTGCTTTATGATCGGCTTGTAAATGAACTAATGGTTTTCCCCACCAAGGGCGAAACCATGTTGGTCCTTATTGAAAACAAGGGAGCGTTAGCAGCAAGTGAGCGGGAGCACCACCCGCAGGCATCTGGGAAAGTTGACTGGCTTGACTGGCACGCATCCAAGTTGTCTCACAGCACGGGGGACCTTAGATTCCAGCAAAAGGAGAAATACGAAAATGTGAGCAGACATTCTCTCCCCCCTTGAGTAGGGGCCAATCGGGGCTCCCATTTCGAGGTCATACACAAGCCAGCAGGCGGTCGTGCACATCCCAGTGTGAGTCAACCTCGGCGAGCGAGATACGCCGCTGCACCAAGGCGAGGAATGAGGTGTCGAAATATCGTGTTGGACCAGCCAAGGCCCCTTCAGACATACTATCAAGGGGTACCTTGGGTAGAAGCAATTGGGCTGATTCCAACTCCCAATATCGAAAGGTGTTCAAGGCTTTCGGCACGGCAGGGCAGACGGGGTCTTGTTTTGAGGTAGGAACTTGGACCTCTGGAGGGTACCGTACCTATGCATATCTTACCTTGCTCTGTACGAAATACCTACCGGTACTTGGCTTAGTGGAGATGATTACGTCAGGCAGGAGTGGCTTCAGGCATATGAAGGTGCCTGACCGGTGGACGGGAAGGGATCCAATTACCTTGGGCTGCTGAATGAGCAGGAATCAAGGTAGGAGTGGTATGTGAGGAACCTCAGAGCTGAAGGCGACAGTGGAGGGCTCAAAGAAAATGCTCAAGAAGGTTCAGCACTTGAGCTCAGCCAGGTTCTCGGGGCGCCGCACTGTTAAGAAAAGTTTAGTCATACTGTACGCGTGAAGTGGTGACCCAACCAGCAGAATGACCAGAAAACATGGACAATGGGAGGGCAGAGGGTGGGGGGGGGACTTGGGGAAGAGGTGCGCTGTGGGGCAAAGAGCACGGGCTGGTCAGCTACGTAGTAATACCCTACCACCTTTACCTACAGGCTATAGGCTACCTAGGTACGAGACGGGTTGGGGCCGCGCCCCCCCCTTTGGGCGCCCCCTTCCATTCACTGAAGTCTGAGGGTGAGGGGTGAGGTGCTCTACCAAAGTGCCCGCACAGTGCCGTGTTACCAATTAACGCCTCCCCCTTCTCTCGAAAAAGCGACGCGTTTACCAGAATTTCGCGACCGTCACCATTTCAAACCCTTGCACATCCAATACGGCTTTCACACAACTTCAGCTCCCACCACTCATCTCCTTCCTCTTCTTATACCTTCCAGTACGGAACACCTACCACTCTGCTGCCTTCGGTGGCGTCACTTACACGGCCATCACGACGTTAGAAAATTACGCCTCTACAAGCAAGCAAGCAGCGTTCCTACCTCAGTTGCCTTGTTCTACCATACATCCTGAGAGCGTGTCGCAAGCGCGGCTCAACACCACCGCCCGCCCACCTTTCCCAACCTCGCGACGCCCTTTACAATACCATTTGTCCTGACACAAAGGAGCGCCAAAATTCTTACTACAGTCACCTTACCCCCGTCTCACATTGTCGCAGAAATTATATAGACATCATAACTCTTTGTGGCACTTGCCTGCCCCGGACTTTCAGATCCAGCCCAGCCAGCCCTTCACCCTTCACGACTTGACGAGACACGACTTTCCCATTCCTTCATTCCTTACACGTCTGAGACCAACTACTTCAATCAATCGTCCACCATTGTTTATACCTTCCCGCGCTCCGCCCTCCGTCTTGTTCAGGCCCCTTTCGCACAGAGGTGCCGCATGCTCGAGGCTCCTCCACCATGCCTGCCTCAGCAAAGCGCTCCCAGCGCACTCGTCGCGACACTCGCCGCGATACCTCCCCCGCAAGATTAGAAGACAGCTCCCCAACTCGGCCAGCAAAGCGACGAAAGAAGGTAAATT